TTCCTCAATGTACTCATCTATCACTGCTATTTTTAATCAAACTAACCCAAAACCTTATCTATTTTTTTTTTATCTTCCTCTTACAGCCACTGTCCTAAATTTTGTCCCTCTTCCATTTTTGTACTACTTTCTTCAAATAATTTAAACTCCTTTGAAAAGATTTTCTGTATTGATAAAATACAGTCGTTTGAAGGTGGCTTGCTCTGCAACTGGACCTAGTTAATGCTAAGTCATGATCCCAGTTTAGATGAAACAAGAAGCTTGTAAAGGAAAACAAATGTCATCCTCCTGGCTGGAACTCAATGTAGCACCAGTTTTCATATGGGATTTTGATGTGATGTTGAAACTTATACAGGCTTGGACTTGGAAGAGAACCCCAGAGGGCTCAAATGCTTTCCGGATTTAAATAAGATTCACATTCCATCTACCTATCCCAGAGCCTCTCCTTATAGCACACCTATTTGTTAAAGGCAACCAGGATTGTGGAAGGCTCACATCTACCTCTCACAGATCCATGTAAAATCCAAGTAGGTGGATGGGAGGAAGCCCACCCATGACATGAAACTCTGTGGAGCTACGTTTAGTTATGAAGAGACTTTACCAGCAAAACTCAGGATTTGAGGATGCGGGGTGGGGTGTAGCTGTATTTCCTAGTGCAGCACTGTTGCTCCAGTAGATTTGATAGAGGAGATTTAAAATGACTGCAGAGACAAGAATAGAGGGGGCAAAGCCCACCCACTGCTGGGGCCCTAAAGGTGCTGTGTGATGGATGATTTCACCCACTTTTGCCCTTGTATTGAGCACTCTAAATGCCAGTTACAAAAGGCAGCTGTGCTAGACTTTGGCTCTCTTCTGGGCACACTAAGCTTTTGAAACCTCCACATGAATTTGGATCGGCACAGGAATGAACCTATCCATTTTTTAATTGTTAACTGCCTCTTTTCAAACTAATCCGATCTAATTTGAACCTGGCATATTTCTAGATTTTGAGACCATTGTAAAAAAGCTATTAAACAATTGCAAAACATTGTTAGTAATGTTTTCTTTTTAGTTGCACAAAAATGCATTTCTTGGAGGGGAGGAAATTGTTCAACAAGTGACTGGTTTTATTTTTATTTTTTGTTTCCTTCAGGATCTTTCATGTTGGTGAACACCACCGAAAAGTTTGGACAAAGAGCCCATCTTTTGCTACCACACCTGAAAGAAAATGACACTCATTGCATCGATTTCAATTTTTATGTTTCCAGCAAGAGTGGATCCAATCCTGGCATATTAAATGTTTATGTGAAAGTCAACAACGGTCAGCTTGGTAGCCCAGTGTGGAATATGTCCGGAGGTCCCACAGGAACCTGGAACAGAGTAGAATTGGCAATTAGCACCTTTTGGCCAAATTTCTATCAGGTACTGCTTGTTTGTTCTTTTCTTACATATATGACACAGACTAAAATATTTCATGTGAATCACTGCTGAATAAGGCATTCTAACCTTATTTAACAGGTGTGCACTTGGTTCAATTTTGACATCAGTCAATGTGTTTGTCTATTTGATAAGGCATTCATGTACTGTCCTATGACCAAGTTCTTGGGATGGCTTACAAGAAGAATAAAAATAAATCACAAATGCATACAGTAAAACAGGCCATTGGTAAAACATGTAAAAGCAGCATCTTTTCGTGTTTTCCCTTTGAAAACAATCCCTGGCAGGCTAATCGATTATGTATTTATAGCAGCCTTGGAAACAAGTTATTTCAGGATGTAGACAAGAGCATTTACATTTTAAACTCTTGTATAATGAGTCGTTAATACTTTCCAACAACCCAGGTAGGTAAAAGAAAGTGATGAAGAGACATTTCCTCATCTTTCCAAGAAGACAAGACTCACCAGGTGGGAATTCCATCCTGTCAAGCTTGGTATGTGACAGGAGAACTTGGTGCCCCAGGATGGTTGTCATCAACTGAAATGTGTTGTTCATTTTACTTTTTCTATAGGCTTATCATTATTAATAAGTATATATTTTAGTAGCATTTTGAGGCTGAGTGATGACAGCATTACATTTTTATGCATATAGTAAGATTCCCTTGTGAAACTTCTGGTCCTTTGGGAGTAAGGGTAAGATTTAATAAACAAATGAAAATAATTTAAACAAAATGTGATATACAAATAATAAATAAATAAATATATGAGCTGTTGATGGGTATACTAAAGTTATTCCATTATCATGAATTCTAAAGAAATAATTTTAGTGTATGGGTGTTTGCTTCACCCTGGAACATATAGGCAAATAACTCCCACTAGTATTTATTTAATAGAAGTGATACTGTTCAGTACAAAGTCAGACTTCTGAAGACATTCTGCTTCTATACTTAGAATATCTGCTAATTCTCAGTGTGCATGGCCTTTTGAGCATAATTATTGTTTGATTCCAGGATATTTGTTGTAGCTAATACAGTTCATTTAAATGTAAAATTTCAAATTCATCTAGCCTTTTGGATTTAATTCCATAACTGATACTTGCTCTTTTTATTTTATTTCTTAGCAGTAATACTTGTTCTAATTGCTCCATCCTGAAGAATGCTTATTAGTTAGAGCTCCATCACTAAACTAAACTAAGTTGTCCATAAGTAGCTGGTGTGTGTATAATGGTGGGGGGGCTATTTTAGACTCATCTGGGTCTGTAGCATGCACATTTTTAAGGCTTTTTATTGCTAGACTCACCTTGTCTATAATTATATCTTGTTCCATATAATTTCTATCCTCTCCATGGTTTTTTTTTTTTTTTTAAGTATCTGGGAGGGTTGCTTCTGTAGAGTAAGATACTTGTCACTTGCTGCCACCCTCACTGCAGAATAGTTGTTACCATGTCAAAGAATTATTTTATGGTGTAGAACAAGTTTGCAGTTAAAAAATAACCTTCCGGTAGGATGACTTATACAGCTCCACAGGTTGTTAGTACCCCTACTGTGTTCAGTCTGCTCAGTATTTTGTATTCTTAGCTCCATATACCCACGTGCAAGCAGTAAACTACATGCCTTCTCTTCTTAAATCATTGCTTCCACGTTTACATGGAGCAAAACAGGCTGCTGAAAAGCAAACACATAAATAAACCCTCTCCTTTATAATCTGAAAATCCAAGCCCAAAATGAAATAAAAGGGGGCTTTTCATTTGCTTGTGCCTGTTTGTTTCAGATTGCTGTTTTACAGTGTTTAAGTGCTAATGAATGGTGGTCACAAATCCATTTTGTATTTCAGTGCAGTTGAATGAAAAGGGGACTATAGCAGATCTGCTGTTACCTAGATTCATTTTAGTTTAGTAGATTCCATGTAGTGCAATCCCAAGCATGTGTACAGGACTTGCAAATAAGTCCCATTGAGCTTAGTGTGACTTACTCCCTAGGAAGTGTGCTGAGAATTGCAGTCTGAGTCTCATTTAGTGCTAGACAGCTTTAACCTTTCCAAGCCCGACAGCTTTTTCTGTAAATGAGGTACTTAGGGACCTAGATCCTCCACAGGTTTTCATATCTAAGCTCATCTCTTCATTAGCTGCATAAATGTACCATGTATTCGCCTAGTTTCATATTAGCAAAATGTTGTGCAAACCTTAGCCTATCTACCATGTTCCTTTACATGCTGTAGCAGGGCATTAAAACACAACTAAAATGCCACAACTGACACACCAAACATTTATTTTTGTAACCTCTGGATTACGGTGCTTTCATTTTTTATGTTCCCTGGGCATAGTGTATACTGCCTGGAATGGAGAAAAGGCTGAGAGGGAGCTATAACTGGTTCATGACTTCAGAATAGCAGCAGCCCCTTATATATGTGTACATGGCCAACAGTAAACAGACCCTTTACTCAAGCCATATCAATGAGATTCAGTCACCGCTGCTAAAAATACTAACAGATTCTGAGAACGAAAATAGAGCACAATATTGGTTCCAACTGGGAACTGATTTACTGTGAGGCAGTAGAAGCCCTTGTGAAATAAATGGGCTCAGGATCGTGGGCCTTGAAAAATAACCCCGTACAAACAACTTCATTACTGTATGAGCCCAATTTTCAATCTTGCTCACTTTAAATCATTTTCATGTAGGTGCTCTCGTTGACATTAACCTCATAAATTCTTCTTTATGAGCCTAAGTGCGAATTTGAAAGTGGCATGCATGCAAAAATGTAGTCACATGGAAGTGCTACATGGAGACAAGGGGACGCAAGAAAAACGATCCAGGACGGCAGTGAACTTTTTTTTGTTTGATGGGATTATTTTCTTTTTCTGTTCACATAATTGCATTAAATAACCACATTGGTATCAGTAAATTCTTTTCTCTTTTTAAAATAAGTTTTGTGAATTAGAGTTTATGATTAGGTATAATTCACCTTTGGACTGCAGGAATTGTAATTGCTTAGCAAAAACAAAGGCAGGAGTTTACTAAGTGAGGTCATGTATTGAAAGTAAATCTATTTATTCCCTTTGTTCTATGGAGCTGACAAGTTATCTCTGCCAGCACATTTTCAGCAGTAAGCATTTAGGGTGGCAAGCCAGCCCCCCTTCTTTGTTCTCATAGAGAAGGGGGAAGTGGCAGGAATGAAAAGCTAATTTTGCTCTTCACTGAAGCAGGGAGGATCAGGGACAGTGCAATGTTAAACTGCTTCCCTATTTCCTGTTTGGCAGGCATCTGAGGGATAGTCTGATGTAAAACATCTCTCAGGCAGACATCCAATACAGCTTTCCATGAGCAAATGAAATTTGTGTTTTTAACCAGTTGTTTTCTGACTGATAAGGCAGCAAAACAATTTCCAAGAAATCAAACAACTATCGTGTTTGCTACAGCTTTAGTTTATTTTGACTAATGCGCTTCATATGTTGCATTCAAGATGTTGTGTCAACTGTGATGAAATGCAAAGTTGACAGCTTGGAGTTAACTTTTTTTTAACCTGGCAGCTAAACACGAATAAAATGCTAGACAGTATTTTTTCACAAAACATCACACATTTATAGGATTTGTTACCCTTTTTCCTCTTAAATAAAGTATCCATACACATGCACACACACACACAAATCTTGTATATAAAGGACCTGATTTTAGTGTAGCACCATTAAAAAGATGGAAGAAATGTTCAGTCACACAATCCAGCAACGACCAATTGATGTGCGTCCATCACCACAAACCGGAAGTGGCCAGAAGATGGGGCAGGGTAGACCTTTGTGCGTGGGGCACACACAAAATGGTTGCTGCCCGCATATCCATTTATATCAGAGCCTGTGTAGTATGGAGTGTAAACCCTTAGACTTAGCAGATATAGATTCAAACTTTTGCCAACCAGGCTAAAGATATGATATGTCCTCTAGCATGCATAACTATTTCTTTTGGCCCACTGCTTCTGGTGAAAAGGGTTTCATCGACCTTTGAAGGACTACAAAAACCTGATGACTGTGAGAAGTGTGTACACAACATAGGCCTTTACTCATCTATTACACTGACTTCAGCTCTCTGAAAAAGATACTATTTCCTGCTTTGTGCCCACATGAAGTTATGTTTCCATCACTATTAAGCATGTTCCTTTTTCTTTTCTAAGCAGAGTGTTGCAAACCATGTATAGGATCAGTTATACTTAAATAACTCTTGGCCCTTTTATTAATAATGGTCTGGATTCAAGTAACCCATTCCACCAGCAGAAGCCAGTACAAGGACTCCCTTTATTGCAGCAGTCTTCTCCTGGGAGAACTTCCAGAACAGTGTGCGCAGGGAGGAGAAATATGCTGAATTTCACAAAATGGAAAATTATTTGAGAGGGGTTTTGTTCTTATTTTTATTATGTATTTAGTGTTTTTATCTTGTGAGTGAAGAGCAGTATACAAATTTAACAAATAATAATAAATACTAATAATAATCTGCAGAACATGACAGTTTCTGCAGTTATATTTAAGGGCTGTTGTTTTTTAAATGACACAAAATTGGTTCATGTAGCTTATGTAAGACAGAAACAGGATTAAAGATGATCTTAACAGAGGTGAATGTAAAGTTCTGCATTTGGGTAGGAAGTATAAGATGCATAAATGCAGTAGCAGGTGACACCTGACTTGACGGCAGTTCATACGCTTAGCAGATCACAAGCTAAAAAATGAGCCAGCTGTACAATGTGGTGGTTCTCACGTTGGGACGTTCCTTTATCTATCTTTGTCACTAGAGGGCCAAGTGACCTCTTTGGCTAGGAGTGTCTTCTACTAGCTTCAGCTGGTATGCCAGAAGTGATCATTCCTTGCCATCCTCTCTTATCACACCATTGCGGCAGGCCCACACCACTGGCCCATGGCCTGCCACTGGTCTAATTAATACCAGAGATCCTTAAACTCCCGCCTATCATTGCTTCGTCTAGCTGGTGAAGTACAGGCCAGTAAACCTATGTTGTGTAAAGGTCGGTCCCTTCTGCTGCCTTCCTGGTCCAGCTTCTAATTCTCCTGATTTCAGATCTCTGCCCAGATTCTCATTGCGTGTTCAGGTCCCCAGGGCCACCCCAATAACTCACACATCACACAGAATTTTTTGTTTAAGATTTTTGGCATAATTTTGGCCACAACTTTATTAAAATACAAATTTGTGAGTGGTTGCTTAGGCATTGGTTGCGACTATCTGCCCCCACCACGGGGGACAGACTGACATTCCGCATGATGCGAAAGTCAGAATAGCGGAATACACTTGGGGGTAGCGATGGAGCAGGGAACCTGCCCTCACCCCAAATGCAACCAGGAGCTCATTGCTATGGCCCGAGCCCCCTTGACAGAGTGGACAAGCAATAGTTAGCCCCCAATTCCTTTAACGGAATCCCTTGCAGCAGCAGCATTAGATTGGCAGGCACAGCTAATACATGCCCCTCAACCAACCAAACCATAAACCAATGCCTAACCGCAACCTTACAAGTTGTGACGATTTGCTATGCAGTAGTCAAAAACCAAATGGCCCCAGCCAATCAGCCAGATGGACAAAATCTGCCCCAAGAGCAGACGACCCCATGACAGGCATAGCAAGGTCAAAGCGAACAACCCTAATTCTAGCGAGGGGGGGACGGGCAATCTGATGCACGGGTGAAAAGAGGAAGCCCTAGCCTCGTGCAAGGAGTTTTAGCATTTCTGACTGTCAATCAACAAATGGCAACATTAACTTCATCCCAACAACAAGGGAAGCCCCAATCGCATCAGTGGCCAACAATCAATTAGCCCGCCCCCAACTTTGGAGTGTCCTGGCGGCCCCCACCGCAACACGTGCTCTCCATGAAGGAGAACACGCTTTCCCTTTACAGAGTTTCCGGTAGGTCTGCATCTCTGCCGTCCAACTTTACTAGCCCTGCCCATGCCAGCAGCTGCACATCTCTTTGCACATGCTTCTTCCAGGCACTGGATACTTCCAATCCACCACACCTGCTGCCTCTCCTTTCTTTTGCTCTCTGCCTGCTGGTGAGCCTTAGGACCCACTTCTGCTGCCCTGAATGCGGTTCTTTTATCCTTATGTGGGTCACCTTACTTAATGTTGTCCCTTTAACATGGACATTTGCAAACTTTTCATGTTGGTGACACACTTTTTAGACATTCATCATTTTGCAACACAGTAATTCAGTTTTACTAGCAAAGCAGAGGTTAAACCAACCCCTTTCCAGCCCCGGGAGGAGTGCGGGGAGCATTCGCATGACACACTTACACACTGCAGCTGACACACTAATATGTCACAACACATGGTTTGGAAAGCTCTGCTTTAACACTTGGCTTCCCAGCAGTCTCTCTTCCTTCCTGGGCTGATCAACAGTTTCTGTGCTGCTGCTGCTGCTGCTGCTGCTGCTGCTGCATCTCCACACATGATAAAAACAAGTTTCATGAGCTATGTTATTTCCTGCAGAATAGCAAATGAACTAGTGTCCTCAGTCTGGATATTTAGTACAATAGTAAAGTAGTACAATATACAATGGTACAGTATTTTTATCTCACAGTTATTCCAGAGTTAAATGAAATAATAGATGTGAAGGCATTTATAGTCTTTATTTACTTCATTTGAAACTTGAGTGTTTTCTTTCTTTCTTTAAAAAAGGAAACTTGTTTGTTATTAATAGCTTATGTACTTCAGCAGTGATAATAGGATACCCAAATGCATGCATGCATAATATAATTTCCCTCTCTTTCCAGACACACTGACCACCCAAATATAAAACCCCATAGTGAGTCCGTAATCAAAAGCAATAATTGTGTTTCAGTTTCAGAGAAGAAAGCAGATTTAACTTATCAGACTTCAACATGCATCGTCTATGCTTATGAAAGCTTTCATATTTATGTCGCTGAAACATACTTTTCTGCCTAACCAATTTTGGATTATTTAAAGCTAGGCCTGCCAAAATTTGGAATGGTTTACTTTGATCCTTAGTTCTTAATTCAGCTGACAAGAATAGTCCATTTATTTTTGTGGCCTATTTATAAGCATCGAAAGAACTAGGAGCAATGGATATCGAGGAAGATTGGCTGGGACAAAACAGCTTAATACCTCCATCTTGTCCTAAATGCAAGATTGCTATTAAGTTCCTTTTTTCTTTTTTAAAAAATTCTGTTACCTGTTTAAACAGCAACAAATTATTTATTTATTTACCGCTTAATTCCAAAATGGGCTTTTCTAAGTGGATTACTTTTTTTTTAAAAAAAGTTGCATAAACATTAAAATATAAGCATCCAGATTTTTTTAAAAAATGCAATAAAACAAGCCCATAAAACAATGTAGCAGTTTTACCATAGTTGGCAAAATCAATAAAATACAAAGGAATCTTTCCCATAGAAGATACAACACAGTTGGTTTAAAAACAAATCATGGGGAAATGTTCAATGACATAGAACAGGGCCTTGGGTCAGGGAGTTCCCTGCTACTATCCTGGATAAGAAGAATCTCAACAATTAAAACTAGGGATATTTTACTTCCTCTGCTTTTGATGGGTCTACTCCAAGTAGGACTTAGCTACAACCTAGTACTGTGTTTATTTTACCCTTAGACCAGAGCTTTCAAAACTGTGTGTTGCGACACGTTATTGTGCCAGCCACAGTGTGTACATCTGTCATGCGAACGCTCCCCGCACTCCTCCCGGTGCTGGAAAGGGGTTAGTTTAACCTCCAGTTTGCTAGTAAAACTGAATTACTGTGTTGCAAAATGATGCATGTCTAAAAAATGTGTCACCAACTTGAAAAGTTTGGAAAGCTCTGCCTTTGACCCTAAAACTTGCCTCTAGGTTAGCTTAAGAACTACGTGTTAGATACAGATGTGGAAATACTAGTCAGTTTACTAACAGCTTCAATGTACCATCTGGAATGATTATCATTATCCATCCAGTGGCAGACATACATTTTTGGGACCCTGAAGCTTGAATTGTTATGTGGGCCCCTTCACAACCAGCAACATGGTCTGGGTAACCACTGTTATATTCATCAATGGGGTTGTTCCATGACATATCACCAAACCTTTACAATATCTTTGCTACTGACTCTCAAACTTTGGAATTGTAGAAATATATTCAACAACAAAAAAATCACTTTGAGTTGTATGATTCAGATTGGGTCTACTACACCCCAAAATTTTTAAGCAATGTGGACTAAAGTTGGTTCTGGGGCCCCTCCAGGATTAGGGGACCTGAATGTAAGCTTCATTAGTTTCAAAAGATCCGTCTCTGTATCCCTCATGTTTTGGAATGAAAGCAGAAAACAAATGAAGGACATTATCTCTCGATATCCAGAACATGGGAAGCCCCCTTCTGAATTTTTTTTTAAGCTTGGAATGTTTAATTGGCTGTATTGTTTGTATTATGATTTGGTATGATTGGAATCGATTTGTCATTAATTGGAAGGTTTTTAATTGAAAAAGAATAAAAATTACTTTTTTAAAAAAAGAGAAAGCTATAATGACAATATGCAGCTATATAGTACATTTGCATTATTGCAATTTTTTGGGAAACTTTGTTGTTCATTATGTTGCACAAGCTATCATGCAATTGGTTTTGTACTGAACTTTTACTTAACAACAGTAATATAAACTTTTCTCCCTAGCCCCTGAAAATATGGGTTTGCAGTTTGTGGTTTATCTGCAGAGAGCATAATCACAAACCTGGGTTTGGACGTCATGCTAGGTCAAACCACGCAACAGCAAGC